CCCTCCTGCTCACCACCACCCTCCTCCCCCCCCACACACACCCTCACACACAGAGGGGGCCTGATATTTTCAGCCAATGTGCATACACATCAGAAAATGTTATGTTACCACTCAAAGACAGAGTCAGTCTGTGCAGGGTACACGCTGGGGGTTTTATGATTAATAACAAGAGTGAATGTCCTTTTACTCCTTCTTATAGATTATCCAGAAAAAATAAAAGCACAGAATAATGGTCCGAGGTCATCATTCGTAAGACATATTTTTTAAGCCAATAATCTCCTAAATGAACTAATTTAAAAATGGGGCATCTTTAATCAGATAAGTACATCCACCAAGAAAAATGGCAGATGCGGCCTTTTCAGCGATTTATGTATTTAATGTTTGGAAATTTGTTTCAAAATACAATAAGTTTTTCATTTATTTTACTTGCAGAGTCTTTTTCCTTAAAAAAAAAAAAAAATCCAGCTTTTGCAGTGCTAAAGTCCCAGGTGAGCTAGGCCTATTTCCCTTTCTGTTACTATGACAACGAAATTTTACCGCAGTCCCAAAGTCCCTTCAGAACTCTCACATCCATGCCTTGAATTAGAACTTTAAAGGAAAAGATATACATTTCCCCCAGAATTTACCAGCAAAAATAAGAAGAAATCAACCGTGCTCCCAAAAATCCTATTTTAAAGCAACGGTTGGTGAGATGCTCGCATGCTGACCTCGTGTTTATTGTTAATTCTTTACAAATCACACAGAAGAACTAGAGAGCACTCCAATGGATGGTATTTCACACTTCAAAAAAAAAGGAAACCTGATGAAAGATAAACAGTAAATGATAAAGGAGGAGAGGAGGGGAATTGCACTTTTCTGAGCGTTTTATTTATTTTTTTCTGTGAATCTCTTTTTCTCTAGACTTGCTAAAAATAAGTGGTCAAGTGTTCCTGCCCCCTATCTAATGAATAAGGTTGGGTGTGAATTTAGAAATAACAGTTAAATACTTTTTCATTATCTTATAACATCTGCTTTTCACATCTCCCCTGTAATCTTTTTTTTTTTTACTTTGAAGAGTATAACCATCTTTTTTTTTAACCTTTTCTGGGCGGGAGGTGCCCACCCAGGGGCCTGCGGATGACAAGGCAGAGGAAAGGCTCCCAAGGCTTCGCGCAGCGGCCTGCAAACTCGCAACCTGCCCGCGCTCCCAAAGTGCGCCCAGTGTCTGCCCGCAGCCCTCGGAGCACTTTACAACGAGAGCCGCTTTTATTTGAGAAAAGATGGACTCGGAGTCAAACATTGTGCTTTTGACAGGGAAACAGTCTTCCATTCGTGCGTCTGCCGAGTCCTCTGCGGGCTCCGCCGGCGCTGAGACGCTCTCCGCAGACTCGGAACTTGCCTTTTCCCTGGGAAGTCTCTCTCCAGACAATAGTCCCCACCACCCCCCCAAGGCCGAAGCAGTGATTCACTTCTCGCCTCCTATATCACCTCCACCTCATCCCCCCCACCCCACCCCCAAAAAACAAAAAGCCCACTAGAATCAAATCAAGTGCTTTCTCTCACTAACTCCTTGATTTGGGGAAAGTTTTCCCACAATTGGGCTCCTTATAATGCTTTCTGTGTGTGTTATACTTCCCCTTACCTACCCCACCCTTCCTCCGAAACGTATCTGGTGAACACATTAATGTTCATGAAGGCGTTATTATAGCCATGGTGTGGTGGGTGGAAAAGTGCAAAGGAGATAAATGTTTACATAAAATCAAATTGGTTTAGGGAAACGAGGGGCCTGCTGAAAGGCTTTATTCATTTTTAAATTAGGACCCTTAACAGTCCTTAGGACGGAAAACACCCAGCTTTGACTCATTTTGCTGGTTTCAACCTACACAGCCCCCTGCACACTAAAGATATAACATTCTGTTCACCAAGGCTAGGAGAGTGGTGGGGGAGGGGGGCGGAGGAAGAATCCTCTTATATTGTATAGTACTTTGTAAAAGAGGCTTAGTCATTTCTATTTCTAAGTGGCCAGCACCAGAAATTATGGCCTGGATAGTTTATATGTGGACCTAGAAATTAATTTAAAGGAATTCTGGGGCTTACTGACATCTCCAATTTTTTCTCTTCTTTTTACTGATGTCTTCCACCTGCCTCCTTGTACCCCGCCACCCATCGTGCTCAGGGGCTTGGTACAGAACCCTTTCCTGACCAAACCAGCCATTAAACACAGGGTAACGTTCAGGGAACAAATCCCCTGGGTCCAGATCCCTCCGCAGGCAGAGCTGCCTGCAAAATGTCAGCTCTCTCTACTTAGAAATGGGAAACCGAAATGAATTTCAAGATTCAGACCAAATGTGTAGATTCTCATCGGGATGGAAGTTATTTTCACTTTCTCCAAAAAATGTTGACTATATAAATGTGATCACCACTTCGCAGGGCCTCTAATCTCCTTCCTTAAGAGGATGCACTAACTACAGGTTTATCCTCCTTTTATAGATAAAGAGGAACAGAGAGGTGGGGTCAGACATGGAAGCATGCAACAGAATGATGAATCTCAGAGGGAGGGGAGGGTGAGAAAAGATTAACCAAAGAACTTATATGCATATATGCATAACCCATGAACACAGACAATAGTGCAGTGAAGGCCTGGGGAGGGGGTGGCAGCAGGGTGGAGGGGAGTCAATGTAATACTTTCAACAATAAAGATACATTTACAATTATGAACTCAAGTAAACTTTAACTGAAAAATAATTTTTTAAAAAAAAAATATTCCCTCCTCCCCCCAAAAGTGAACTCAAACCCTCAGATTTCAATCAAGTTCCTAGGTCAACCAAAGGGCATTCCTTCACTCTATAAATATTTATTAAATGCTGACAGTGAGCTAGTCTTGATCTGCTACCAACTAACTTTGTAACCAAGTTACCTCGCTTCTCTGGGCCTTGGTTTCTTCAAGTGTTAAGAGGGTTTAACCGGATTATCCCTGGGGTCCTTCCAGCATTACTAGTCTGTGCTTGCTAAGAAAAACACAGAGAGTTGAAAACCCACCAGAAATGGCTACATTGGGGGCAGAAACCACTGAAGGCAACAAGATCATCACTTATTGAAGCCCAGCTGGAGGTGGGAACAGGGCTTTTCTGAGAGATACATCAAGCCCACTGCTCTGAGAGTGAACGAAAGAGGCAGGAATGGCTGATGGGTAGAAAATGGAGCATCTTGGCTGATGCCTTGGCCGGTATCATGAGCTTGATGGGCAGGTTGTTGAGCGAGATGCACCTTCCCTTAGCATCCTTTCTCTAAGCTTCCAAGGCAGGAGAAGGTGGCTCAGGAATGTCATAGACCACAGCCACCTCTGTCCCTGCTCACCATGCTTTGTGGTCCATCAGCTGAAGGGTACAGGGTCACAGAGGACAGGGAAGAAGGCTAGCCAAATGCCTATTCTGTGTCATGCTCCCAGCTATGTTCTTGATATTCATTGCCTCATTTATTTTTCACAACTTTATGAGTGGCAAATCATCTCACAGCTAGGAAAACAAAGGCGCCAAGAATTTATAAATTTGCCCAAGACCACACAGCTGGTAAGTGACGAAACAAGAATTTAAACCTTGGCCTTTCTGGCAACAAGTTCCATCTGGCATCCTATATTTCCTGCACCAATTAGGTTGCGGTGTTGGTTGCAAGGCTCTGTGAATATACTAGAAACCATTGAACTGTACACTTGGAATGGGTGAAGTGTAGTATGTAAATAATATATCAATATGGTTGTTTAAACAAAACTTCAGAGCCCTGGCCGGTGTGGTTCAGTTTGATGAAGTCATCCTGTACACCAAAAGGTTTCGGGTTTGATTCCCGGTGGAGTGTGTATGGGAGGCAACTGATCAATGTCTCTCTCTCTCTCTCTCTCTCTCTCTCTCTCTCCCTTCCTCTCTCTAAAATCAATGAACATATTGTCAGGTGAGAATTAAAAAAAAACTTCAGAAAATATGGCCTAAAAAAGCAAAGACAGCAACAATAACAACAAAACTATAAAGGATTCAGGTTTCTCGAAAATTGAGAGGATGATAGCACACCAAGAGGAAAACATTAGGTCAAAGATAGTGGCATGGAAGTAAATGCTACTATTGAAAACCCCTGGTGAGTTCATTTATTTACTGACTTGATAGTTATTAAGTATGCAATATTTGCCACCAATTTTCAGGCATGATGGCAGACAAGATGGACAAAATCCTTGCCCTCATGGAACACACAACCAAACTATTCAAAATATGCTTCTGCAGATTCTGAGATGAGTCTGGAGACCTCTGAATAAGGGTCTGAGTACAATCCCAGGGGCTTACCTAGTACCC